CGTCGCGTCGGCCTTTCAGTGCTCGACCCGTTTCCGGCTTTTGAAGTTCGGGCGAGCTTTTAATTTTCTTTGTTTTTATGGCTGGCGTTTGAGGCCAAAAGGCGTAAATTAATCGAAGGCTTAATTAGTACACAGTCAGCCAACGCCAACAGCAACACCAAAACCATCATACACACACACACACTCACACAAAGGACACGGTCTGGCTGTAGCAACGGATCCTGCGCGAAATGAGACTGCGTCAACATGGCGTATGATTAATAAACTGCTCCCATGCGGCAAACTGCGACTCCTGTCTTGATTTTCACCTTTTCTCTTCTGTTTTTTTTTCGCTTTTCTGCGATTTGTTTTATGTTCACTAATTATGGGCATCAATGAAGGTGAAGGTTGTCAATATTTGCCGTTCGAGCAAGCTGCTTTTATGCGAGAAAAAATTTCCATTTGAAATATTTTGTAAGTTGCGAAAACAATGAAGACAGAGAGGTACGCGATAAAGTTGCTCCTCACCTCACCAACCTCCAACATCGCCAACATGAGTGCTGCGGCAACGCTTCTACCTGCCACTTAATGTGTTTTGCATACTAATTAGCTTGGTTTGGCAACTGCCTCTGCGCTTCAAGTGCTAAAAACAGGTGACAAAAACACAGTGCCAACTTAGTGCATCAAACAAGTGCATATAACAACAACAGCAACATCAACAGTAAGAGGAACAACAACAACAGTTGCACTCATCCCTTGTAGCTGGCACTTTTGAGTTGCTGCTGCAATTAAATGGGGGAGCCAAAATGGAAATTTTAATACGCTACTATATTTATGGATTCAGCCGGTGATATATGACATATATTAATATACGAGGCCATATATATTTATTTCAGTTGATTACAGAGCATACAAAATTATAAATATATACATTAAGGACGTTTATTCAAGAATATTTTATCCAATTAATCACAAAATTTACGATTGTAGATGTTAATTTAAGGTTGGTATATAAGATTAAATTTTCTTGAAGTATTTATAAAAATGAAAATAAATAGCAACTAGTAGAATAACAAACTTAATTCTAAGTTGTTCCTCTCAATATATTCTGAAGGAAATTGGTCTTAAATTGTGCATTCTTGTATTAACACATCTAAAAAAATGTTATCAAACTAATAAGAAATAAAAAAATCTTCTAAATTTTTCCACTGAATAAAAATATTCAAATTCTGTGCTTAAATATACATATTTATACAACACTAGAAATACATATAGTTTTATTTAACATTTTAGGTGTACTGTATTTTAAACAGAAGATAATCAATATTTTTAATTAGGTTTATTTTTCCATGCTAATTGCATTCTTAAAAGCTATTTTAAATATACAAAGCAATAAATTTAAAAATCAATTATAGTTATTATTCTCTTTTTTTTTACTCTCACTAACGAAGTTTCGAATATGAGAATAATAATTGAGCGCGTATATAATAATAATACACATATATTAACCTTCACTCTTTACTAAAAAGTTGAAATAATTTATATTAAAGTAGCGGAAATGAGCGCCTTATATGACCGTCATCTTTTCAGAGAGATACTCATCAACAATCTTAGTTTTTAATTGCAAAAGGAAGAGCATAACAAAAATACTCTGAGTAGAGAGCGCACTTTTAAGGGAGGGCATTTGGAACTTGCAGAAAAATACAAGTTAGAAAAAAATACAGAAAAGAAATTCAAAGAAAAAATGTTTTAATTACTCATTTGAAGGAGCAACAACCAGTTCTCCTGCAAAACCTTACTTTGCCGTGATTCGATTGATGAGAAATTGCATAAAATTTACTTTTTGCAGTGTTAAAAAATTGGAAAAGTTTTCAATTGAACTATTTGACTGAAATAATATTTAACAAATATCAACTAAGATAAAATGCTAGTTATTTAGAAAAAAAAATCAATTTTATTGTACAAATTCCATTTTCAATTCAAATAATATTTATATAGTAATGTATTATCAGCTAATCGCAATTTTCGATATCAAAGTGTTTTAAGTTACACACCTGTTAAAAAAAATACATAATAATATATGTTCAATGTTCTGGCTAACATTTTCTTAATCGACGTAAAATAAGAATGATAAAATTGTTGTACCATTGCATACTATAACTTACATTTTATTTATATGCAGTAGTTTTTTATACACAATTTTAAACAATTTTCAGTAAATTGTTTTTTTATTCTATAAATAAGTGTATTTAAAAATTGGTTTAGAGACTTTTCGATTGACCAAAATTAGACACAATGAAAGAGTATAATGTAATGATGTAATAAAATAATGTAATATTAATGTAATAATTAGTATTGTAAAGGAAATAAAATAATTGTATCCCATTCGGGTTTGTCAAAAAAAAAAGCAGCAATATGAATACGAACTTTAACAATGGACACAAGCCTATGTTAATACTGCGTACTTGACGCACTCAAACGAATACTTTTCCATTCTCTCTGCTCACTGTTGTTGTGTGTGCTAAATAGTTACCCGAGGGCGAAATGCTCTTGAGCCGTGCTAATGAGAACACCCAAGCAGCGAGGACGACGCTGACGAAGGACCCTGCCACAGTCTTAGCCAGTCGCAGTCGCCAACTTGGCATGGAGCTAATGCTTGCATTTGCAGCATTATGTAAATAGAAGGCAAAAATGTTGCTGCATTGCTCCGGCGTGTGGTGAAGTGGCTGCTCCTTAGACGCCGGAGCCATGGGCAATGCAGGCGCTCCATTTACACACATTTCGACACGCCAATTAATTATGCTAAATTCGTTTAGAGAATGACAAATGCAGCACAATTCGCCGAACTGGATTGTTGACGGTGTATGGAGAAGTAAAGTCTACGACAATTTATTTTCGGAATCCCTTCAAGTCTTAGAAATGTCGATTACGGTCCTTCAACAGAATGGGCCGTCTAAATAGGGTGATTTTAAATATTTATGTTCTTTGGAGTTTAAGATGTGTCCATCAATACATTACAAACTCCTCGATTATATCGATTATAATTCACTCTGAAAGCCTACAAAAAACTCATAAATTATGCGAAAAGTCACAAATTTGGAACATAAATACAACACATGCTTTTATTGATGTTTAAGTTTATACTTTTTGGAAACGTAACTTAATTACCTTAATTATCATATAAGATAAGAGCACGTTTCAAATTTGTTGATTTTGCCCTTAAAATTGTGGGAGATATTTGGCTTTATCGATTTTATCGATTTCCTAGTACACTCAATCAGTACAAATCAAAACATTTTATTTAAATACATAAGTAAGTCTACTCCCTTCTAAATATCCACACCATATAACTGCTACTGTAATGCACTGGACATTAATCCGACCACGTTTCAGAGGCACACCTGCAGAAGGCAAAGCGTTATAGCACCCGCTTAACCTTTATAATGTGAACAGGGACTGAGTTGAGGCAGTGCAACTAGCTGACTTTTGCCGGCTATGCGCAATTAATTACAAGTGTTTGCGGACAAATGGCGAGTACAACAAACAAACACGTGCAAGCACTGGACATGGCCATGATGACAGGTCAGCTTCTGCAGACTGCGGCAGGGTGTTGGTCAAAGCAGGGCATTTCTTTTTGCCATACCGACCGAACGACTAAACGACCTCAAGTGCCAGAGAGTGCCGCTTGCTTTGAGGTTATTTACTTTTAATGACTCGCAAACTACACACGTACCACGTTGCGTATGCGTCATGCGTCATGATTGTATACATGTGTGTGTGTGTGTGTGTGCTGTTTAAGTGTTTTCAGATATCGCGCATCAGTGGACATCACTGGAGGCACCAGCAGCACCAGTAGCAGCAGCAGCAGCAGCATCGCTTGTTGACTTTTAGACTGTTTAGGCTGTTTGTTTGTTTGCCCAGATTGTGCAGAGATTTTTGTGTGTGTGGCTTTTCATCTTTGGCTAGCGCACAGCGTCTGCTCTCATAAATGAGCTTTGAAGTTTGCATAGAGCGCATGAAATGCATTCTCTCTGTCGCTAGGGATAATGTGGAGCAATTACAGACAAGTTGAGTGGATGTAGGATGAGTGAGTGAGTGAGAGAAGGGGGTCTAAGTCCTGCACATCCTTGAAAATAAATTGTTTTGTTAATTATTTATGGTTGGTTTAATGAGTGTGCGTACTACGCTCAACCCCTTACAGCCCCCTTCCTCCCAACCATCCGTGATGCCATCGAGTTTGTTATACTTTTGCATTTTGCAATTATTTTAATGAGTTTTGCATTTAAGCGATTCTCAGCTCACTTCTCACTGCCAGCAGCATATGGCAACTAGGCAGAATCTCCTATCTTCATCCTCATCATCATTATCAGCACTGGCAAATAGTGCTAAAAATGTGAGTAATTGCCGTTTTTTGCTTCATTAAAATACGTCTTTGTTGTTACAACTCATTAAATTTGCAAAAAAAAAGGAAAAATGTATATACAAATATATATATAATAGATATATATATATAAATCAAAGAGCCAGCTTTGCATGAATAAATGAAATCGGAATTAATATTCGCTAATTTTAGATGTAATACATTTTTCCATTTACATAGTATAGATTTAATATTGTTTAAATCTAGGCACATATGCAGCTCAGAAAAAAATTAAAATAAATATAAAATATATCGTAATATTAAAATATTGAATGCATGCCAAATTAAACAAACAACATTTTTTAATTTGTAAATACTATAATAATTTGTTGTTGCTGTTTAACAAAATTGATTTATAAATATTATTAAAAAATAATGAGGTATTTTTATTTAAATTAGATATGAATTTTACATTTTGTTTTCTAAATGTGCAGTTAATTTCTTAGCATTGAATTAAATGCGTTATTTTTGCTTAATTTTTGAGTATACATTTCAAGAGTTTGATTTCCATTAATATACAAACACTCTAGAAAGTTGAGAAACGTTCCTTTATCAAAGTTGTCATTTATTACATTATTTCATAAAACTTGTAAATTTCCAGTCGAATTAGTTATACAGTTTTGGTAACTTCAGCTTCATAATGGAGATGCCCAATGAGCAGATTTTGAATGCCTTTCTACAAATGCGAGAAGGACAATTTCCGGAAAACAGAAATGAAGTACTGCAACAGTTCCGCGAAATTCGAAGCCGTAGACTGTTGATTGGTGCCGGCGATGGATTCCACAATAATATACTTGCATGGAATGAGAATGTACCCCCATTTATTATATTGCAAGTTCGGGAGCCCTCGAGACTGTGGCACTTTATGCCGATACTGATCATTATATCGAATCTCGTCTTCAAATATGCATCAAACTCCTTCAGGATCGATGTAGATACTTCGTTTCTATTGGGCATATCGTACAGTACGCACTTCAGTCTCATGCAATGCCTTTTCTTATTTGCCTGCTTCTTACTCAAGATTTTCAAAACTTAATACTACATAAAATATATTTACAAAATGTATTAATTAAGTAGTCATAATTAAGTAGTATCGTAAGAACTAGTTTTGAAATATGACTTAATAAGAAAACTAATATACAGTGTTCAGTCATTCGCTAATTGGTACACATGCATTCAATATGACAATTAAGATACCAATCAATTATTGAAACTCCGCATGAGTGAGCATTAAGCTGGTAAATGTGGTAATGAATATGACCGACAAATAAATACAAATTACAGCACCAGGAAGCCATAAAGGTATGTAGTAAAAAAAATTATAATAAATAAAAACCTGTCATTGTCTTAGCCTCACGACGGGGTGGTTCTTTGGAGAGTTTTTGAATACTGCATACGGCTTACGCCCACTCGCACAGCCACGCCCCCCACACTTGAAAGCCGGCAACACGCATGGGAATAAACGCCTGAGTCTTGGGATTTCAACACCAAACTTATTACAAACGCTGTAACGTTCGAAATTACTTAATCAAAGTTGGATTATCTCCAAGTAAACACTGAGCAAAGAATTTAAAGCTAAATGTGGGCCTGAGCCCGGCCCGGAGCCTCAGCCTTGTATGGCTTTCATTTGAATTAAAAGCGCCAGGAAGCAGCAAGTTTGACAGATTTCTGCAACAGCATGGGGCATTTGGCACACATACAGATGTGCATATGTATGTATGTGTGTATATATAAAACCGGCTGCCGAGAAACCCTACCCAACTCCAAGTCCAAAAAGTACTGGCAGCTCAGCTGAACTAAATTAAATTCCATGTCTAATGCTCGCACAAGGATTAGACCATCGCCTCACCGCCTCCGATGGGTAATATTAAATAATTTTTCCGTTAGCTCACAGGACGCGCACAGGACACATATGCCATGAATTCGCTCATTGTTTTGCATCGAGTGGAGTGCCTGGCAGCCTCATCGTAGCCACAGATTAAAGTCTCCTGTGGTGAACTTAATATAAAAGCCCAGGACGAGCCCTGTGCAGGACAACACAGGCAATATAGTATTTAGGTGGGTTGAGCGCTCAGCGCAAATCTTTTTTCGAGTGCGAGACATTAGCAGCATTAGAACAACAACAACAATATCAGGCATATAGTTATGGCACAACTTACTTCTATATATATATATATATATATATATATGTATATATAAATATAGTATGGCGCAGAAACCATTTCCACCCAATACAAAAAAAAATCCAAAAAGATGGGCGGAGCGGAAAGCTCGCCAAGCGCCAAATAATCAAAGGACTTAAGGCGGCTTAGCCGCAGATTTTTGAAGAGTGAGTGGGGGGGAGGTGGGAGTGAACTAGGGGTGGGACTGGGGTTGTATCCAGTGGATCAGCTCTGCAATAGTTGTACGGCGTACTCATGCACGCATTCGAATTGGTGAATTTTGGCATCTAGCGCATAATATATTTTAAATTTATAGTTTTGCCGTAGTGTACAAAATAACGGTTTGGTAATTCTATAAGAAAATGAGTACTAGATACAATTTTAATATAATTTTATTTTTGAATTGAAATACGAAAAAAATATAAAAAGAGGCGTGAATCATTTTTCAGTTTTTGATATATGTAGAAGCTTTTGTGCAGTGTGAGTTGAATGTAAAAAAAATGTTCGTTAAACGGAAAATATTTATTTTGCAAAAGAGAAAATAAAAAAAAATAAAAAAAATTCAACGTATTCGTAGTGTAAAACATAAGTTTTGGAATCCCCTTGTAGATTTTCTAAGATAAGCGAGCAAGGGCCAGAATTAACTTAACCCCTCTGGGGCCTTGGTAATTTTTTAAGCATTTTTTTAATAATATGTGCTACCAATTTAGATTCTTGGAAATTCGCCAAGTCAAGCCACTCAAGTTACTAAGTAACTAAATAATACAATGTCCTCCTCAAATTTAATATTTCTAACTATTTTGAATTTATTTTGGTATTGAAATATTTTATATTTCAACCGAACTTTCCGATGACATCGATATAATATATTAAAGTGATTAGGCCGTCTCAGAAATATTAATTCTATTTATTTGTGGTCTGAGACATTCCCTTTAGTGCTTTATAAGCATCAAAAAACTATAATACCCTCTACAAGATTATTAAAAATATGAATCATTATTGAAATAGTGTTCAGTGCGGCATAAATGTATAATTTATGAATCGAATTAAAAATTAAAATAAATTTATAATTAGCATAAACAACTTTTAATTTTTCGTTAAACAAAACACAATGAATTTTCGTGCGTGACTGCTCAAACGTGACACGCGCAAGCCACTAATCCAAAGCATATTTTTTCGTCGCAGGTGGCAACGCTGGATCAGCTGTTTTGTTTGTTTTTCGACAAAATTGGAGCAACAGAATAATGCAAGCAAAATTGGGAAAAAAACATACCTCGAAGTACGGCGGCTTCCCCTGGCGGCAACATAACTACAACTACGACGAAGGGATTATCGGGCTCCACGAGGAGATCGAGCATTTCTATCGCTACATATTGCCCACACCCAGCGAACATGCCGCACGCAATAAAGTAATCCAGCGGATCGAGAACATCATTCGAGCACTGTGGCCGCAGGCGCTGGTGGAGATTTTTGGCTCCTTTCGCACCGGACTCTTTCTACCCAATTCAGATATTGATCTCGTAGTGCTGGGTAAGTAACGTGACAAATGCATTACAAAAGCGGTCACTCCAGAAATGGAAATCTTAATTTTCTATTTGCATACTATCACTTTGAATAAACTAATCGTTAAGGCTCCAAAATAAGAATATATCTGCAACTCTTAAGGTATATCCATATATGCATCATCAGTCTATCTATTTTTATGCTAACTAATCTTTGACTTTTAAATCTATCTTGATTACGGCAATGAACACCTATGTCAAAGTCAAACGGATAGGAACAATTATAGTGTGTGGGTGGACTCCGGTCGGCAATCTTTCGCATGCCTAAGATAGGATAAGACAAGATAAGATAAGAAGTATTCGGAAATATGAATCCATTGTGGAGCAATAGCTTTTTATACCCAAAACCAACTTTTGAAAGGGGTAAAATGATTTTGTGGAAAAATATGTACCAGCCAGAAGGAAGCATTCCCGTTCCCAATCTGTATGTCCTTGATCAGGATCAGCAATCTAAAGAGCCATTTCCGTCTGCATTAACACGCGGATCTTAGAGACTAAAATAGCTAAGGACAAATTCGGCAATTAAGTTCTCGTATACCCCGCACAGATAAAATTTATTTAATTTTATCAATATCTGCGCTCGTTTCACAAATATTGATACATATCCGTAAGCAAAAAAAAATGCAATTTTATAAATGTATAATATATTCTGATCGGCTGCACAAGATCTCAAGATCGGTTACGAAACATCCAACTTATAACTCAAAACTCATATTGATCTGATTACTATCAGCAGGCGCAGGCATATTCTTCTTTTTAAAGGGAAATTTGGCAAAGTAGACTTGAATAATTTATTTAGCAGCTGGGTTCAGGGTTTCTTAGACCTCTCTCGACTACAGCATTCTTACTGTTTTTTTAATTAAATTTATTGACTGTAGATGAACTATAACGAGCATCTTAACATATTGAGTTGTCGCTTTCTAATCAGGATTTTGGAAACAGCTGCCGCTGCGCTCCCTCGAATTGGAGCTTCTGAGGCTCGACATTGCCGAGGCTGGCACTATGCGTGTGTTGGCAACGGCTGCTGTGCCGATTATAAAATTCACGGATCGCGAAACGAAGATCAAGGTGGATCTGTCCTTTAATATGGCGAATGGCGTGCAGTCTGCGGAGCTGATTAAAATATTTAAGCGTGACTATCCGGCTCTTGGCTATTTGGTGATGGTGCTGAAGCAGTTTCTGCTGCAACGCGATCTGAACGAAGTATTCACCGCCGGCCTCTCATCCTACTCACTGATTCTCCTGTGCATTAGCTTTCTGCAACTGCATCCGCGTAATGTTTTCCATAAGAATGTGAACCTGGGCGTATTGCTCTTGGAATTCTTCGAGCTATATGGTCTGCGCTTTAACTACTCTCAAATAGGAGTTTTCATTCAGGACGGCGGCTGTTATAAGCGAAAGGAACATATTGCCACTGACTGCAGATCCTCGCAGCTGTACATTGCAGATCCTCTATTGCCCGGCAACGACGTTGCTCGCAGCAGCCTTGCCCTTGTCCATATCAAGCAGTCCTTCCAATGGGCTTATCGTGTGCTCAGCCAGGCGGTAAATCCACCAAATTCCACCTCCTTTTCATCCATACTGGGTATGTGTTTTGATAATATTTATACGCTTATAACATTGTACAGAGTATTTAATTGTTTAATGAAACTTTTAAAAGTACATTTCACTTCATTTCGTATTTATATATATATATCCATTTTCGCTGCCATTGAAAAAATCTGTTGAAGTAGAGTTCTTGTTTTCCAAGATAAATAATAATTTTTTTATTTTTCCCGTTAACTCCCATTGGCAAACTACACTTTTTATACCCTGAACCCATTAAAAATGGGTAAAAATGATATTGGTTTTGTGCAAATGTATGTAACAGGCAGAAGGAAGCATCTCCGACCCCATATGGTATATAGTATATATATTTTTGATCAAGGTCAACAGCCGAGTCGATATAGCCATGTCCGGCCGTCCGTTCATCCGTCCGTCTGTATGAACATGCAGATCTGAGAGACTATAAGAGCTAGAGACTTCGGATTTGGAATATAGGTTCTCGTATACCAGGCGCATATCACGTTTGCTTTATTTTATAGATAACTGCCTCCGATTATCGATACATTTCAATTTCCGATCGCAATAAATGCTACAAGTTTAAAGGCAGAATCTTCTTATTAATACATAATATGCATATCCATATTATTGATCAACTGCCAAAATTTTATCAAGATCGGATAAGAAAGACCCAAGTTAAAGTCAAAAATATATTCTCATACTGATCTCATTTGCATCAGAAGCCGCAAGCATTTTCTGCACGCATAAATACGCGTGCACATGCGTTAGAAAGAGATGGCTTGATAATCGACGCGAGCGTCAATATGTTTGTGTGTATGCTGCAGAACCCCGTTACCCCTTTACGATTGCGTGTACGTATATATATATATATATATATATATATATATATATATATATATATATATATAGATATATATGTTTGTGTTTGTCGGCAGAGCGCGCTTGCAGACCTGCTCACATTTTGGTGCAAAACTTTTAAATGGAAATTTCCCAATACAACAAAAAATAAACAAATATTTAACAACTGGGTTCAGGGTAAATCGTAGTCGAGCTTACTCGACTACAGTACTCTTACTCGTTAATTATAATTTTAACTCTCAAATTTCTTTAACCACAGGTCGTATTATTTTTATTACCGATGAGCTTATCGACCATCGCAATTGGTTGCATAGGCACTTTGATCACAAGGTTATTGTGGAATCTATTTCACCTTTGTATGGAAAGATTAATTGCTCTGACTTGTCAAACGATGCAGCGGAACAGCTGTTTTATCTATCACAATCAGCTTATGATCTACAGTCCTCAGTCAGAAACGGGCTAGAAAAATGCATAACAGAGGAGCCAGCAATATCTGATATCAATGAACTAGACTTTCCAGCAGATATTCATCAATAGTTAATTTATGTCAATATATAAATGTATAATATCAACATAATCACAGCGTGGAAACACAATTTTCACATGGAAACACTCAAAATACATCAATACAAAATATAATAATTTAAAGTGTACAAAAAAAATATATGTCAGTGACAAAAGTCGATTTGGTTTATTCAGCAGACAGGTGATGTGAACATCGTTGCATCTATCCAATATTACATTAAAGAAGTTACTTAACAGATTGGTATCCCTTAAGCTGTACAGGTCTGAATATAACTATGCCATAAGTCGATGAAAATTAATACATGTCATGTAAAGAACTTCTCAAAATCTTAAGCAAATATTTAAATCAGTTTTTTGAGATATTTTCAGTTAGCTGAAAACAGCTGGAAAATTATCATTTACCATTTATTTTGTACCAAATTATGTATCGTTTAACTACAGTATGAGTATGGAATATGGAATTGGACGACCAACCACGAATAATGTGAAGATTAATGAGAAAATTTCAGAAAATTGGGCAATATACACAAAAAGTTAGGTTTTATGCACGGATATCAGCTGGCACAAAAGCCTATCCAAATTCTCGTATAGCGGGCCAAATTCTAATGTATTCATGCACTTAAATCTAAATCACTATTCATATTTTAATCAAACTGTATGCCGCAATGTCCTTAAATGAGTATTATTTTCAGCGAAATGCAATAATACTTGTATAAATATAAAACACGGAGCTTCATTGCGAATGGTATTTGAATTTTAACGCTTTTGGACCTAGATAATACTCCATACTCCAGTTTAGTCGTATCATAGTTAAAAATGCATCATAAATTTGAATGAAATATTTTGAAAAGCATTTAGTTAAAAACTAAATATGCTTCGACAGCCATTTTTTCCACATATGTATATAAATTCTGCACAATAAAATATGTAGTAAGCTTTGAAATTGTTCAATTCAAGAAATCGGAAAATGCTATGATTCATATAATATTTAAATATATATATATTTTAAGACAAATAAAATATAAAGCTAATAAAATTTACCGGAAATCTACCTAAAGGCGAGTACTTTTTTTGTTAAGGAGAACTTAAGTGTCAGCACAGTTTCGTAGGGTAAAAAAAAGCAAACAGGCTTACACAAAAAGTTGAAACGTGCAAAAGCCGAGCCACAATTTATTTGGCCCAAAACAATGGGCAAATGCTAAACCAAGCGGCTAAACAAATAGCGGACATAAATCCTTTCACTAAAACGCGCACTCAACAACACTGCACAACAAAAACAAAAAAGGTGCAAAGTGCGCTTTTTGGCACTTGAAATACTGCAGTCGATGGGCAAAACGAAGAGCAGCTTACAGACAATTCAAATCAACATGGTTCCCCGCTAAAGAGTGTGTGTGCTTGTTTGTGTGTGAGTGTGTGTGTGTGTGAGTGTCATGTCATTTTAATCAAAAACGGCGCAACGGCAACATGTTGCGGATTATCCGGCAGCTAAACAACACCCCAAGCCCAGCACCAAGCCAAGGGAAAGGGAGATGCAGAGGAAACGAGTTGGAGGGGAATCGAAACCCAAACCAAAAGCTGAACTCAAGCGGTATCGTCCCAGCGGTGTCGTCGATGACTGCTGAATGGGCTTGAATGAGAAGCGTTTCATATTGACAATTGCCAGCCAGCCAGTCAGCCAGCCATCCATATGACAATTAAATGCGCAGTGAGGCCCAGCCTACTTAGGCGCCATAAAAATGCTGTACAAGATACTCGGTATATAGGATTTTTTTTTGTTGCCCAAGTGCTGTGCGAATTTATTGAACCGCAGCAAATGTCATTGATGTCAACATCATCATCATAATCATTGTGAGCAACTGTTTTGGCAGCCGTGTCCGTATCCATATCCTATATCTTTTATTAGCAACAAGTTTTTAATATTGCAGCAGCAGCAGGAGATCTCACGCTCTGCAGAAAATAGAGAGAGAGAGAGAGAGAGACAGAGCGGTAGAGCGGTAGATAGGGAGACAATGGCATCATAAAAGTACCTATAACAATGGCGCCCTAGTCGCCCCTATCACCATGTCCTCGAATCGCACATCGCCGTCGTGCTCGCGTATCGTGCGCGCTGATTTTATAAGAATTTAATATGCGCCACGTATTTGTACACCCTTTACAAACAAAAAATTTGTAAATAGGGTATATGATGCTGTGCAGATAAAAAGTATGCAAATTCTTTACAACAGTCAGGTCGATCTAGCCGTAAAATACGGCTTATTCTCTGTAAGTTTGTCGCCAAAGTAAGCCAGTAAAAAGCTGAACAAAAAAATACTTACTGTTGTTGTACTGGATTAGTTTTTAATTTTTTAAATTAACTTAAATTAATAAAGCAAGCATAGTAGAGCAATTTAGATGATTAGGTTTTTCATATATGAAATACAGGATGAGTGTCTTCTTTTTATTTTATATGTATTCGGATTTTTTTCTTTAGCACTTTCTTGCGTCTTTCAAATATCATTTATGCCTGCATTGCGTTAAGAATAGAAAATTTCGACGGGACAAGCCGCTATAAGAATGATTCTAATATTTTTACATTTTAAAATGTATATAAAGAATAATAATGTTATTATTAACAATTTAAACATTTTATTTACTTTACAGCTCTGTTAATAATAATCAATATATATTTAAGTATTCATCAAAGTGTTAATAAAAACAAATATAAACGCAATTTTTGCAGTTTGATCATTTTATTTATATTTTTAATTAATATTAGCTGGAGCAGTGTGCATGATCCAAACTGATGGCTCGCCGTATCTTAGATTATCAATGGCATTTCTTCATTATTTCATAACAACGATTATGAAATAAATACTTCCGTCTCTTTGAGCCGCACCTTGGCATCGATAGATGGCTGGCTGTGGGTTTTGGTAGTGATACATACATACGATTTCTCGGGCTGGGCTCAGTGATTTTCGAAGGCAGAAATAAATCAACTGTATGTCCTGTTGCTGTTGTGTCGTGTATTTATTGTTACGTTTTTTGAAGTTTGGAATTTTTAATTTATGGCTCATCCCTCATTGTTAAAAGTTATATTTCTTCTTCGGCTGCTTTGCCATATCCTTCAGCCGGCCGCTTATCACTGAGATATAGAAACAAAATATTAAAAAAAAGAAGCTGTTAAAGGAATACATCTTCTCATACCTACGAGAAGTCGTAATAAAATATTTTCCATATCCTCAGCCCTGGGCGTTGCCGTCAGAGGCACAAAAATTATGATGTATGTGCAATAAATAATCCCAAATAAATAAATTATCACCATAGTTGGTTATATGTATGTGTATGCGGCGCCGAGTGGCGCAACTAATAGTTGCCGGTGAGGGAACGGGTTCGGGTTCCATTTTGACTATGACTGCGACTCAGGCTCCTGCATTTTGATTTGTTGACTATTTTTCCTCTTTCCGGATTCAGCATACTTTTCACGGCGGTTTTACAGTTTTACAAGGGTGTTAATACGTGCGCCTTGTTAGTTTTTCTGAGTTTTTTCTGTCTCTCGACTCCTGTACAATCCTTTGGCTGCTCATAAATCAACGCTTGATTTGGCGACTACCATGTGTGTGTGTGTGTATCCTTTTGTCTATTTGCCTAGCACACGGCATCCCTTTGTTTTAATGCGCCAAATATACTCATGGACTGGCAGCTTCACCTACCTCATCTCCTTCGCTTTTTCACGTAGTATGTATTTTGTTCTTATTGCCATTTTGGCATGGGGTTAACCCGTTTAACCCTTGGCAACTGCTTTTGGTTAACCACGGACAACGAATCTGACATTTTTCCCTGCCTGGCTATGTATATGAATGCCGACATATTGCCGCGACACTGAGGTCAACCTTTTTCATGTTCATTGGCTTGCTGCACTGAATGGGAATTTTTGTTCGCATTATTTTCCTTGGCACATACATTTATATTAATAAATCATATATGAAAATTATAAGTTTTTAGCATTTTGAATGCATCCTTATTTAAAATAATTGGTAATTTATTTGTACTATTTTCTGTAACTGTAATTGTATTAAATAATTCAGATATATTTGTATAATTGAGGTTTTAAATGCTTCAGCTTTTTTGACAGTTTCTGTATGGAAATACTAATATTAACAAATATATTTTAGTTATTGTGTACGCATAGAACAGAAATAACTACAAAATTGTTTTTGTTTCTGTATTTGGAAGATAACTTTTTGCATAAAATATAATAATAAAGTATACATATTGTATTCGTCCGCTTCTATGCAACTAGTCTCTCACTTTTAAAGATAACACATCATTATCAGCCAGATTGAATTGCTATGGTTTATAGAGTACTACATATACTATATAGCCTTCGTGTTGGAAAAACATATATGTTTGCCGAAATATCTGGACCAAATTCCCGTGTTACACGCTATTAGCGGCAGCAGCAACGAAGTTACAATCACATTAATTATCTATATGTATTTAATTTGTACCCTGTGCGACTTAACATAAATAGTTGTTGTTACATATGCACACTCTCTAAAGTGTAGTTTAGCTACAGCAGCCGGCGTTTAGCTCTCTTTGTGCAGCGCTCTCTTTCTCTCTTCTTATTGTTCGTTTTTTTGCTACTCTAGCTGATCGATCGTTAGTTAATCTCGTAGTGAAAAGGTTAAGCAATTGGCTTCAAACCTCTAATAAACAAAGTGTTGTTGAAAAGACTAAGCCAGGCTTCTAGTCTAAATATATTAAATAAAGTTTATAAAGTGAAATAATTATTGAAAATAAAGCTATCAGAAAGCTGATAGCGCAAACACACGCATTATTACATACTGATATCAAAAAATTACCAATCGAGATACTATTTCATACAGCTCCCAATCGGTCATTTTATCCAATTAAAAATGTCATGCCTAGGTAATTTTAGCTTATCTTGTTTCTATATATAAATGCATATTTATATATTGACTATGGAGGTTAGGTTAGGTTATATCGGCTGTCAGCCCGATGGGCTGACACACTTAGGCCATATTTGGCCCGTTGTGATACCGAATGGGATCAAGGGGGTGTTCCCTTCTGCAGTCTTGCCTCCATTGACTATGTAAGTAAAATATATACACATTTAAAAGTAAATCGAATATAGATATTTTAAACAAGAGAGAAA